AAAATCCGCCGTGGTACCATCGCAGCTATTTCTCCTCCCTTCGACCCCCTCCCTTCCCCCTTCTCCTCTTCTGACCGTGTATTAAAAACAATAGGCAGTACTTTTCGTTTTATTTGTAAATGAATAATCCGAAGAATCTGGATAAAAGTAGAATCTGGAAAAAGTAGGAAGAATCCGAAGAATCTTGGGTTCTTCTGGATAAAAGTAGACGAATTATTTTTTTTTTAATAAAATAACAGAAAGAAGAATCTTGGGTTCTTCTGGATAAAAGTAGACGAGTTATTTTTTTTTCATAAAATAGTAGAAAAAATCCCAAGAATCTTGGATTCTTCTGGATAAAAATAGACAAATTTGCACTTATTTTTTTCTTTAATAAAATAGCAGAAAGAATCCGAAGAATCTTGAGTTCTTCTGGATAAAAATAGACAAATTTGCAATTATTTTTTTCTTTAATAAAATAGCAGAAAAAATCCGAAGAATCTTGGGTTCTTCTGGATAAAAGTAGACGAATTTGCAATTGTTTTTTTCTTTAATAAAATAGCAGAAAGAATCCGAAGAATCTTGGGTTTCTGAATAAAAGTAGACGAATTATTTTTCTTTAATAAAATAGCAGAAAGAATCCGAAGAATCTTGGGTTCTTCTGGATAAAAATAGACAAATTTGCAATTATTTCTTTTTTTTAATAAAATAGTAGAAAGAATCCGAAGAATCTTGGGTTCTTCCGGATAAAAGTAGACGAATTTGCAATTACTTTTTTCTTTAATAAAATAGGAGAAAGAGGAAAAGATTTTGAAGTTTATACGAACTTATTATAATCGGTATTAAACGCGTTAAAGAAGAGGGAATCTTGCAGAGAGGAGAGAAAAATCGTGGAATTAAAGAGCAACAAACGAGAAGAACGCAACAAGAAAAGAAAAGAAAAGAAACGAAATATGGTCGATTCAGCAAAACTGGGAGCAAGCCTCGCTCGAACAGTTACCGTCCCAATCTTGGCCGCGTTTTTCGCTTGTTTTCCCTTGATACTCAGGATATATATCTGTTATTTTTCGCGAAAGCCACTCCATTATTTCGCTCTCCTCGGTTTTTTACCGTCTGGCCACCAACCGACCCCGCCTCTCCCCGCCTCCCTCCCCCCGGTGTCTCCGGC